AAACACGATTTCACAAGAAAACTGTTTCCGGGGGGGGCTTGTGTTTGCCATCCGTGACAGGCTAAACCGATACTAACCGAGCACTTGATTTACGAGAGTCAGTTATCTACATTCCCTCAAACAGCCGCAGCAACAACAACAACCGCACATACACACAACCAGGTAATCGTGAAGCAAAACCTCTTATCTTTTATCCTGTCTATATAACTAGGGCGGCTACTGCACTCAAATCGAGTTGTTCTGCATACGTGTTCGCATTTTCTGCACCTGATCCACACCCCCGGCTCACTGTTGGTTTCTCAACCTTTCCTGTTAATCATTGTTTATTTCACCGAAGATGATAGGTCGTTCTGGAGTTTCTAATAGTTTGTCTCACGTGGTGTTCACAACACGTTCTCGCTCCACAAACTATAGCAAAAAAATGAGCACTTCTTACATACAACTGGAACTGGGAATGATGTGCGGAAAGTATTTTGCAACTTACTCTCGAAACTTGTCTTCTTGTCTTCTAAATTCCAAATCGACTATCGTTTGTGCGACATATTCCGCCGGAGACTGAGAGAGCCTTGTTCAAATAGTCTTCACTCGGAGAACATTAGTTTCCCCTTATAGTTCATATTTCGCCCCCTACAACTTTGCTATAGATTTGATTCTGGAAACCATCTCTGTCCTCGTGAGACGATATGCTCTCAGGTGGTAGATTTTCTGCTTTATAGCACGCAGACGACATTTACTGCTAAATGAAGTATTACTGGCTAGTTTGAGTGTTAGTGTCGCAATGTTTGGTATGCGCTTTCCACCTGCGAAGTGCAAAATGTTGCTACAGGGCTGGCGTGATCCAGCTACCAACGCTACTGTCCCTGGAGAAGTAATAGAGCAAGTATATAAATTATGCTATTTGGGTAGCTATATGTCATCTGGCGGATGCATAACGGAGGGAATGTCGGTACGCATACAGAAAGCTCGGTTGGTATTAGCCAACTTGAGACATTCGCGTCGCAGTCNCAGTCGCCACATACGGCTGTCTGTGTAAGATCGAATGTGTACTGCATTGGTGGTGGCGCAGTGCTTTGAACTCTATGGTCCTAGGTTCGAGACCCACCCTCGCCACCTAACTTCGGTGGTATGCAACGGGGTTTAGGTTACCGGTTTTCATTACTGAACAGCAGGCTCTCATGAATATGAGGTTTACCCCGTCTGCTGTTCAGCACACTAAGTTGTGGAATGAGAAAAATTTTCGGCCGTGCTGCTTTACGATCCAGAAACTTGACGATTGCGGGACCAGGATAAAAATAGACCGCCGGGGTTCGAACACCACTGTCTACGCCACGTTGCACGAGTCAATTGGGGAAACCGGACAGGCCATGCTGAGATTAGGCACAGTTTTAGCTAATCGCGGTCGCCCATTCAAGCTAGTGGTCGACCTTCGTAAAGTGATCTGGTTGGGGTATGTGCTGCGCATGTCACCAAATCGATTGTACCAAGGTGCGTGTTGTTTCTCGAAGCAAGTGTTGGGTGGAAAAAATGATGGGTGGTCACACTAAGAGCTGGCATGTGGGAATGAGAACCTTGACTTGGAGACTTGTTCACATTGGTCGCGTTAGTGTTCCTAAACGGAGACATTGAGACCAATGTGATCAATGACTAGAGATATTGAGTAATGTATCTGAGTGTTGTAAACAGCATTGTTCGTGCATCTTTTCACTTTCCTCGCCAATTTAGTCATCAAAAATTCTCTGTTTTTCTCATTCTGAAACTGATTTGAACATTGTAATCTTCCATGCGCTACATCATCGATATGGGAAGCTCTCAGGTGGCAACCGAAACTGATAGTTTACTGAAAACCACACCGTGCCACGGTTATATTTCCACTCTAACATAAACTTGTACTTGATTGGTTCAATTCTTTTATATGACGCTTAACTGATCCAATTCATTACAACTGTTATCAAAAGCTCATGGATTGATAATAACCTGTTCATCAGTAACTCATCCCGATGAAAGTTCGGTTGAAATGATTACGCTTAGACAGACACCAGATGCGGTTTCATCTGGCCAGATGCAGCTCGTCACGTACTTCTNCCCCCCCCCCCCCCCCCACGTGTCGCCCAACTGACGTTCAATGAGGCGGGTAACTTTTGTCTGGGGAGAAAACCCTGTTTTTCGGGTGGATTACTTATTTGTCTCAAGGTTCGTGACGTTCACAACTGTGGAAGATTTTGACTGATTGCTGAATTTACTTTTAGTTTGTCAGATAAACGAAAGTAAACAACATAATATTTTATTGCCTTTCTGTGTGTGTGTGATTCCTTTCATGATTCTTCATATCGAATGACCCTGAGTGTTTATTCGTATGAAGTCAACCGATAAGTCAACCCGCCTCTCCAAGTCTCAGATTTGTTTGGTCTTCTTTATGAGTGCGCCGCCGCCGATGGCAAAATACTACTGATCAGTTGCACCTTTGTAAAAAAAAACACATTATTCTACCTCACTGTTTGTTTTGGAAGGAGGATGAAAGCTCCTCGGAAAGAAATTGTTTACGTCAAGACACTAAAGTTCACTCTTTGACGTCTCCCTATCTGTTTAAAGCCCCTTTTCGCCATGAATGAGGTTGGTGGCAGTTTAGGGAATGCGTCTGTGAATGTGCGAAGAAATCTGTCGATCTGAATCTGGAAATGTTCATTTCGTTTCGCGTATACGAGGTGCATAAATTTATTCTTCCTTAAAATTTTTGTTGACTCCGCTTCTGAACATACGTTTCGCATGGGGGAATACAATACAGACTCTCTTCAATCAATCCGCAATGCTTTCGACTTATTTTCAAATTTTATTGTTCGTTTCTTTTTTAATTTGTAGTCTGTATTTACTGATCTGGAAGTTCTGGCCGTCCTGTTCGCCTGTGCCATACACGATGTGGATCATCCCGGCTTGACAAACCAATATTTAATCAATACCAGTAAGTCATTGATTATTCAGAACATTTCAGGCTAACACGCTGCCCTTCAAGTAACCGTCACTGGATGGTATTCGATCAGCTTTTTGTGTGTGTATGTGGGTATTAACTAAATCGGTATCGATTTGATTCTTCAAAGTTAGTGATGTGACATTGACTGGAGGGTGTATGTGGAAGGGCACCAGGTACCTACCTAAGGTTTCATCAAATAAACCCCTAATTTAACTGAAAATTTTCTATGTTGAACAAGGGATTAACGTTCTCAGTTCTGTCATTTTCTAGTCATAAAAATTTCAAAATTCTTAGGGAATATCAAATCCACAAAGTGTGTTCTCATTTGATTTCGGTGAAGCTCTTCAAGTTGCAATCAAAATGTAACGAAACCCCGAGATGAATAATTGACTTATCAATATAAATCCGTAGAATAAGATTGAATAATAATAAATTATTTACTACTAGTGATTATTTGTTAGTTCCTCGGTCCCCCGTCACCGCATGGCCTAGTGATACCATTGTGCGACGGCACACAGAAAGCTCAAATTCAACGAGCATAAGTTGCACCGAAGAAGTATAGGACTACTGTAAACATAGGCTAACACACACACACGCATAACGATCCGATGTAGATTCCAGGTGCCTCCATTACAATCACCTCAGGTGAGCGAGGGGACGGATGGAGAAATGTCCAATATCCCTCTGATGACTTCAGCACCATAAAATCGTCCCGGTGCAATTTGCCTACGCAAAGCAAATGTGACTCATTCATTTGTTTCGGCAGCAAACCTCAGGATGAGGAAATACCTGATGAGATGATGAGTCATCGTTTTGTGACCTTGTGGTGGTAAGCACAAGAACAGTCACTGCATCCTGTTCGACCGAGTTTGTGGATGGTTCACGCGTGTAACACATCCTAACGTGCCCGGATCCGATTCCGGCAGACAGGATGGTGGAAATGAGAGAAAAAAGGAGCAGAAAATAGTTGTTTGCTCCTGTTCATTTTCAATTCCGGAAAGGTGATATCCGAGAGAATTGCGTGACTGAGTCCTATTTGCGGGTTGAAGATAACGGATGGGGGTGTTGAGAATCGCATGCTTCAAGTGAGATCGACCAGAGAAAACCAACAGGGTAGGGTTGGAGTTCCTTTCCACCCTTACCGCAGTTCTGTTAGCAATCAATGTAGACCCGTAAGGTTCTTGAAAGAAGTAGATATTTTGCGATAAAAGCAGATTTTGTCACAAGGTTTCCCGGTGTCCATGGTACACACTCATCAGGCCCTTACTGGTTTGGTGTTTCACATATGTTCTGTTGAAGTTATTCCTTAACTCAAATATATCATAGGCAAACTTGGAAAGTCTTTCAAACCCCATTTGGTGTCTGTTTGAAAGCGTTTGGAAAACTATCAAAATAAAATGAACAGCATACATACTCGTTCACGGGTATTGAAAAATCGGAGCTTAGACGCACTATCGATCGGTAACTTGAACGAATCAATGGGCGAATGTATTCATACAGTAAAGGTTATTAAATTATCGCCCCGGAAGACGTGTGCTCTAATCCCACCATCATCGTTCGACTTCCAGCCGTCCCACACTTTGCGTATGTTATATGGCAGATATTTGATTGAACACTTCCTCCTTCCTCAAAACTGCATCATTGTATGTATATTCAATAAAAATAAGTAAAATAGGAAATTCCAAACTTTTTCGAGGTCACAACAATTTTGGGCGAGGGAGGAAATAGATCTCTAGATATTATTCACATCTTGACACCAGTAGGTCAAAGCTGGAAATTCAACTGCCTGTCCAGGTATCCCAGATTTAAATAACCATTGGTAGAAAAGGTATTTCGAAGACGATAAAATGGTTTATCATAGGGTAATGTTCTTCGTGTAAGAAGTAAATGAAACGTGAACTGGAACGCAAGGAAACATCGAACAGCTACTGGGACTTGGCCAGTCCTCCTCAGAAGTGCAAATCCATCGACCTAACCGGGGATCATACCCACTCAGGCGTAGCGCAGCTAGCCACATCGTTTTTCCTTTTTCTTTATACACAATAAAGCGCTACTTGATGTGCGAGCTTGATGCAGGCAGGCATCACAGTTCAGCACATCTCAGCCGTGGCCTCCAGGGTGAGGACTGAGTTGACAATATTCTAACCCGTATCACATGTATATCAAATCGAATCATCCACTGCTATAAATTTAACATGAGCTAATCCTCCCTCACTCGTTGTGTTAAAACCGTGCTCACAATTTCACCATCAAAAGGAGTCTGTTGAAAACCAATCCGTTGCACATGCTTTCAAATACATCGTCATTCGACTGGTGTTAATATTGTATTTTTCCTCTCCCACTGTTCGCCCGTCATTTTTTCCTAGCCTAGTCATGGATGTGAGAATTTCTACCTTAAGAGTCTTAACGACTACCGATCGACTGCCCAACCCGATCTAGTTGTTACTACTTATCCACCCCACCCCTTCCAAACACTCATGTATCGTAATTCGACACTATCCTATTTGGCTTGTATTCTGCCTGACAAAAAGAAGGACCTAAACGAGTTAGTTTTAAATCTATAAAGATAATCTTTGGTTCACATATCATCGATGGTGAATATGACTTTTACACCAATTTTTATCCTCATGAGCCGGTCAACCCACTTTTTTGACTGAAATCCGGGTATATTTACTTCCACAAGTCGTGCAATGCGAAAACACCAGTGATATCAGTTGTGCCCGGTCGCGTTTTGTGCAGACCAATTGGATGGATGAGAAGAAATCCTGCATTTTGAGCTTATCAATTCGTCCAAATCGATAACTGTCCACACGGTCCGTCTGTTTGTAAGATCACATTTGGGCAAGGTTTCAGAAGCAGCATTTCTTGACGGCTATCGATCACTAGAGGATATATAATTATCGGGCACACATCAAGCTAGCGCTTGTTCGCTGTGAGTTGGTTTATTTTTCCTGAACAGGCATTGATTTCTACCAGAAGAACGAGAAAATGAATGTGAAATTGAAATTCCACTCCTCGGGCAAATTATTTGAAGACGGCAGGGCGGGGCGTGGGAGGATGAGAGGAAAGCGAACTCTCTTCCTTCTCACGCCTAAGCAGTTATCATTTTTCCGCTCGAGAAATGTATCTTAAAACACGGATGCTTTTTTGTTCTTCATTTGGATACATAGTGAAAAATGGAAACCAATTCTGACGTACCAGTGTATAAACGATCGATTCACAAACCTATAAATTCGCTCATACATACATAAACTATAAGTCAGTATGCCTATATCTTTCCAACACGGGACTTATAACACGCGCTTGTGTGCAGTTGGGTTTTTGTTTGTTTTTGTTGTAAACACAACCAACCCCCCTGGTGAATCGAGGATTCGCAGCTCCTCAACGTCCATTTTAGTTCCCATTACTTTTCTTTTTAAGTATGAGTGTGAAATGCACTAACCGGCAAATATCATCTTCACACACTAAGCTCATCTAATCACCCATA